AGTTCCTCCGCGACGAAGCCACGCGCATCGGCGCCATCCTCATCTTTGACGAGGTCATCACCTCGCGACTCAACTACGGCGGCTTGCAAGAGATCTACGGCATCACGCCGGACATGACCACCATCGGCAAGCACTTCGGCGGGGGCTTCTCGTTTGGCGCGTTTGGTGGGCGCAAGGACATCATGGACCTGTACGACCCACAGGGACCGCGGAGTCTCTTCCATTCGGGAACATGGAACAACAACGTCTTCTCCATGACGGCGGGTGTCGCTGCCACCAAGCTTTTGTCGAGAACGGCGCTTGAGAGGAACAATGAGCTGGGGAACAAGCTTCGCGACGAGCTGCGTGAGGTGTTCGGCTCCAAGGATGCGTCCATTGTCAAGCTGACTGGCTATGGGAGTGCGATTGGCTTGCACTTCCAGGGCCCTTCGGCAGGCAAGTTGCAGGATCTCTTCTTCTTTTACCTTCTCAGCAAGAGGATTTACGTCGGACGTCGTGGATTCCTTGCGCTGAACCTTACTCATGGGGAAGAGCATATCAACAAGGTTCTGGATGCGGTCAAGGACTTCTGCGCAGAAATGTTGTGAGAGATCTTTGTAAGCTTCAGCCTTTGATCTCGGCCCAGACCAAAGGCATGTTGGCGTCGACATGCTGCCAGCTCATAGACAATGTCAAAATAAATGCTGTCGATTTCACCCTCTCCCTCACTCGGTTGCCGCAATTTCCACATATCGTCGTCCGCTTGGGTCATTCTTTTCAAGCCAGAGGTTATGGCCTAGGCTTCAACTAACCGCCGATATCCTCTCCAATATCCTTTCTTGGCATCACCAACCTCCTCGTCATGATACTTAGAAAGGAAGGTTGATAGCGCAGCATTGGCTTTTGCTTGGCAACCCAAGAGTAACGTGGTATCAACTGCAATTCCAACCTTTATTCGCTTCGGACCCAGCATCCAAATGCCCCCTTGACCCCTGTTTATCGGCGCAGATCAGCCTATCGCGCGGGGTAAATAACACCAACACCGGCACGGTGGTTTGCGCGACCGTGCTTTTTATTAAAGCCTCCCTACGCAAACCGGTCGGCCAGTCTCACCTCATCCTACTTGCGCCATCGTCACTCATTCTGGCAAACAGCCGCCAAGCTCATGCTATCGAGCCATTGAGCCCCTCTCATCTTCCCCTTGGACCTTCAATCACTAATCCGGCATCGTCTCCGGAAGCCGCCCACAATGCCGGACCTCCGCCCCCGCACCCTCGCCCCACTCCTTCTCTCCTTTCTCACCGGGCACCGCGTCCTCGGTCAAGCATCGCCGGGGTTTCCCATGGTCATCAACACCTGGGGCGGCCCCTTCACAGCAGCCACAGACGCCGCCTACCAGGCACTCGTCAAGCCGGGCACCTCGGCCCTCGACGCCGTCGAGATCGGCTGCGCGACCTGTGAGGCGAACCAATGCGACGGCAGCGTCGGCTTCGGCGGCTCCCCCGGCGAGAACTGCGAGACCACCCTCGACGCCATGATCATGGACGGCGTTACCATGAAATCCGGCTCCGTTGCCGCCCTGCGCCGCGTCAAGAACGCCATTGGCGTCGCTCGCCACGTGCTCGAGTATACCTCGCACACCATGCTGGCCGGGGACCTCGCGACGGAATTCGCCATTGAGAACGGCTTCGTCGCCGAGAGCTTGACTACCGAGGCCTCTGCGGAGCGGTGCGCCGCGTGGCGGGCCGGAAACTGCCAGTCGAATTACAGGCAGAACGTCACGCCGGATCCCAAGGCCGCGTGCGGGCCGTACACGCCCGTGGAGCTCGACTCCAGCTCTTCTGGTTACTTTGACCTCATTGCGCCGAATTCAGCGCAGGCGTCACACGACACCATATCCATGATGGCTCTGGACGCGAATGGGATCATGGCGGCTGGTACCTCTACCAATGGAGCCTCCTTCAAGGTACCCGGACGCGTCGGCGACGGCCCGATCACAGGTTCCGGTTCTTACGTTGACGGTGATGTCGGAGCATGCGGCGCGACTGGCGACGGCGACATCATGATGCGTTTCTTGCCTTGTTATCAGGCCGTGGAGAGCATGCGAAGGGGGATGAGCCCTCAGGAGGCAGCGAGAGATGCCGTAGTTCGCATGGTAAAGAAGTATCCGGCCGTATCGAGCGGTATTGTGGTTGTCAACAACAAGGGTGAACACGGCGGTGCTGGGTCTGGGTGGACTTTTACGTATGCCTTCAGAGGTGGTAAGATGAACGCTACTGAAGTTGTGACTGTACCGCCCGTTGTTGTCACCCGATCTTTGCGCGTCGAGTCAGAATTGAGGTAGAAAACGCTTGGGTCTACTCCATGTGAAAGTTGTTGACGAATAGATCTTATTTAATCGTACCCCCGGACAGACCGAGACTCGACTTCGCAATGAATGACCAAGTTTTCTTCAACACAAGATCCAGACTCTCTGCGCTACATGGGCCATATCCGGCTATGCGCAACGCTCGACTCGTCGAATGAGATTCAACTCCAAAAGACGCCAAAGCAAGGTTGTCTATCATCATTGTGGGGTTGCAGCACACCATTGCCATGCCTGGCTTTCGCTAGCTAACTTGCAGGACGGCCGGCCAATCTAAACATTTGAGGACCTGGTCGATAAAACTATCTACCGATATCGCAAAATCTTGTCTTCTTGGCAGTTCAAATATTCTCTCTTCCCGCGACTTGACGATACCACGAGCCCACTTTTGGCCGCATCGGCAGGATTCGCTGCGACCATCCATTGAAGTGCTAAGATTGACGCTGCTCCTCAGGAGCTCGGTAAGAATTGCGCAATGGCGGGCAACTTCCGGGCGGGATCCAGCTTGGACGAGGGCTCACGCATCGTCATTTATCAACTCGCTATCCGTCGTCGAGCGAGTATGTCTCGAACTATCTCAGTTCTCAATCGTTCTTATCTTAGAGGTCTCTGGTCGATTGCCCCAAAGACTCTGCGACGATGGCATCTGCTCTGAAAGAGTCGGTTCCAAGAGACAGGTGGTGGGAGTGGAGATGGTTCTCGCCAGATGACACGAAGGAGGAGAGGCGTCTCATCACGAAGATTGACCTTCTCTTGGTACCCTACTCGGTCCTCGGTACGATCTATCCTTCTCGCGTAGTCTCCCAGCTATCGGGCTAACATTCAGCTCGAAAGGCTATTGGGTCAAATATGTCGATCAATCCAATTTGAACAATGCCTACGTCGCCGGCATGAAGGAGGACCTCGGGTTTTACGGAAATGAGCTTGTTCAGTTACAAACGCTGTTCACTCTTGGATCGGTCTTGGGCCAGATCCCTTTCCTGTATGGATAATGATCTCCGAATCTGCTGTTGTGCACTAACAGAAAGCTAGATTCATCATGACCTATGTCCCAATCCAATATCTCATCCCAATTTGCGACGTCCTGTGGGGAGTTTTCACGCTTCTACAGTATCGCGTCCACTCTTACGCAGAACTGGCCGCTTACAGATTCATGGTCGGATGGTTCGAAGCCGCGTTCTTCCCAGCAATGCATTACGTATTCGGTACGCATTGAGGACTTGAACGATGATCGGACTTATCGCTGACTCTGAGAAAGGCTCATGGTATCGAGGCCACGAAATTGCTCGTCGCGGCGGTATCTTCTATACCGGTCTTGCTGCCGGCACATTGACAGCCGGTCTTATCCAGGCCGGCGCATCAAGCTCGCTTGAAGGAGTTCACGGTACGAAAAATCACCGCCAAAACTCATTCTCATGATCCCCTCAATCGCTAACGGGAGAAAAATACCACAGGCATGGAAGGCTGGCGATGGATGTACATCATCTGTGCGCTTATCACCATCCCCGTCGGTATTTTCGGCTTCTTCGTAATCCCCGGTACCATAGACCAGCCCAACAGGTGGTGCGTCAACAACAAGGACATCGAGACCGCCCGCGAACGCCTCGAGAAACACGGCCACGTCTTGCACGGCAAGATGAAGTTTGGCCACATCAAGCGCACCCTCCTCGGCTTCCGCTTCTGGCTCGTCATCACAACTGACGTCCTCTTCTGGAACGCAGGCATCCACAAGAACACGGGCTCCTACCTTCTCTGGATCAAGAGTCTTGGACGGTACAGCGCGGCTCGCATCAACGAGTTGGGTACAATCTCCCCCGCGCTGGGGATCGCGTACACGCTCATTGCTTGCTTCGCTTCGGATATGTTCCTCGGTCCGGCCTGGTCGATCACGATATGTTCGGTCCTCAATGCCATCGGTCTTATCTTCCTGACGATATGGACTGTTCCCGAAGGCGGTCTCTGGTTCGGGTTCGCGACCATGTATTGGTCCAATGCTCTGTCTTCTGTGTTCCATGGATGGGTCAACAACCTGCTGCGAGACAGCCCCGAGGAACGGAGCTTCACTTTGGTTCTTATTAATTTGCTGTCGCAAAGCTCGACGGCATGGACCCCCTTGCTTACTTTTCCGACGGTCGAGTCACCAAGGTACAGGAAGGGCTTCTCGTTCTGCCTGGGATGCGCAGTCGCGTTGATTGTCTTCACCTGGATCATGCACTACTATCTGAAAAGGGACAAGAAGCACGACACTGGGTCCACAGATGAGGAGACGAGCACCCAGTCCGAAGTTGGTGTAGTGTCTTCAGTAGAATTGAAAGGTAAAAGCGACCTGGACGCTAGAGACGACGATCCGGCTGCTGTAAGGGTCAACAAGGAGACAGGCGATGACAAGATCACAGCAATTTGACAGTTCTCTCATCAAAATTGTCATATGGTATGCGAACTTGGCCATCAATGTTGGAGTTCTTACGAAAGATGTATATACTGAAATGGAAGCTAAGCTATGTACAGTCGCGTCTTGGGCCTACTACATGTTACATGCCCCAGAGCGATGATGAATGAAAAAGAAACTTTGATCCTGCACCTTTCCTGTATCCTATCTCATCCCGACCTAAGATGACAGGAATACAGCCAATCTAGATATCCATCCCATGAGCACTTAGTAAACAGGGGCTTTGAAGGCAGGGAAAGTATAAGTCCAGCTGTCAATCGACTTGGCGTCGTTGACGCAGTCAAAGTCGGAGCTGTTGCCGCGCCAGACGGGACGGGTAGGCCACTGGCAAAGCATCTGGGTCTCGCCGGCGTTGATGTTGGTGGACGAGGTGACGGTGGCGTTGAGGCGGCTGGGCTTGTTGCCGTTCTCGACCCAGTCGATCATGATGTTCATGTTGTTCTGGGGGTAAGGGCCGGGCTGGAGGCTGTTGGTGCCGCAGTGGCCGGCGCCGGGGACCAGGTAGAACTGGTACCAGTCCTCGAGGGACTTGATGGCCTCGTCATCCTTGGCGTCGGGGTACATGACGGAGCGGACGGACTGCCAGTAGTGGACGGAGGAGGCGGCGGGGATGCTGGAGTCGGACTCGCCGTGGTAGTGGAGGAGCTTGCCGCCCGAGGACTGGAAGGGGGTCAGGTCGGGGAGAGTGGTCTGGAGGCTGTCGAGATAACGGATCATGCCGGTGTTCATCCACTCGACGAGAGTGTCGTAGGTGATGTTGTTCATGTCGGAGAGGTTGTCGAGGTCGAGGAGCTGGACGAACTTGGTGACGTACTCGCCGCCGGTGGAGGGGATGCTAAGCTCCCATGCGTCGGTCTCGTTGTTGTAAACAGTAGCAGCGTCGCCGAGCTCGGAACCAATTTGCCAAGAGAGGTAGGCGCGCTGACCCTGGGAGTTGAAGACACCATCGTAAATGGCCTGGGCGACGGCGACGGCCTGCTCGGTGACAGTGCCGTTCTGCTCGGGCTGGTAGCTGGTGGTGCTGCCCTGGGCCTGTCTCTTGTTGAAGCCGAAGCCAAGCGAGCTGCTGGTCTTTGCGGCACAGTAGTAGGACTCGCCGATGGTGGACTTCAGGTCGAACTGGAGCTTGCAGAGGTCAGTGCGGGAGATGACGCCGTCGACACGGCCGTCGAGGCCGTCGCAGGCGGCAATTGTGGAGTTGACAATCTTGGCCAGCTCGCAAGGAGGCGGGTAGTAGTCCTGGGTATGCTCAACGGCAGACGAGTAGACGTGGAGGACCTGCTGCTGGGCGAAGCGGAAGGCCGGAGCACCGGCGATGACACCGTCGTACTCCTCACCCCAGCGCTGGACCTGACTCATACCCTCGCGACCGCCGTCAGAGCAGCCCTCGTAGTAAGTGTAGACCTTGTCGTCGGCGCCCATGCTGTAGAATCCCTTGGTGATGGCCTTACCGACCTGGGTCATCTCCCCCAGGGCCTGGTACCCGAACATGTGGGTGGCATCCCAGTTGATGGAGCCGTTTCCGTAAAGGACGACCTCGTCGTAGCTGTTGTTGAAGGCGTCGTAGCCAGCATCGGTGGCACCTCCGGCAGCACCGTAGGAGATACCGCCAGTAGAGTCGGAGGAGAGGGAGAAACCACCACCGCCGGCAACGTAGAAGCGATTCTTGAAGACGTCGGGGCTCGGGAAGGCGTACTTGAGGTTGACGGTGTCGCCCTTGCCAGTGTGGGTATAGGCCACGGTGACGTTGCAGTATGTGAGGGGGGTGCTGCTGCCGCCCATCATGCCACCGCCGCTGGTGGCATTGTAGACCGGGCTGGCAGTGATGGAAGAGGGAACCAGATCGATGCCAAGAAGAGTTCCGTTGGAAGGCAGAGCGTTCTGCACGTTCTCGACAGTGCACACATCTGCCAGGGAGGATGTGCTGGCTCTGGCCGCCAAAGCGTGAAGAGCCGCCTTGGAGTACTTAGACATATTAGAAGGATGCGAAGTTCAAGTCGGTGTGGAGGAAAGACAAGTGAATGAAAGAGAGAAGAGAGAGCGAATGATGGTGGTGATGCCTTCTAAAACCATCAGCAACATCGTGCCCGGGCAGACATCTTTATAACAAGCTTGAAAACTTATCCCGATGCTGCGGTTCCCTAGTCCTCGGCGCCGGCGTTGCCATAGTAGACGCGGCTCCACACGTGGTCCGTCTGTACGCCTCATAGCGCCGGGGCGCAGTGTACAGACGTGCGAGCCGTATTCTCGCATCGACCCCAGTTCGCCCGTGGAGACCTACTTCGACAGGTTCAGTTTACGTCAGTCATGGCTAGCGTGAATGGAAGAGATGATGGTAGGGCTGATGGTCCGGACGAAACCTTGTTCGGGTGGGGATCCAACTCCCGACGCTTGGAGGGTTGTTTTCTGGTTCGTCCAATGATCCTAGGTACCCTGACCACCGGTATGCCGCGTCACACTGGTCCTGGACAATCTTTGAATGCAGTGTAGTTTGATTTGTGACGCGTCTTTCTACAAGACGTGGGTGGAAATGTGTTGCAGCGTTGAGTCTAATTCGGATGCGGCTTGACGATTCACGAAAGACATTGAGCTCCCGGTTTGGCACCCGACTTCGAGAACGTGTCAATCAGAACAGTGCCTCAGTACCATGCCATTTTCTCGTTGGAGTTCTCGTTGGAGCTCCTGTTTTCAGTATGATTGTATCGAAATAGGGGAAGAATCTGACACCTTGAACTCTTTAGTGAAATCTATGGGCATTTCATAAGGGGTGCGCTAGGAGCAGTGCAAGACGCCCTCAGTGGCATGAGTGAACTCCAGGCTAAGATCCAGCACCGCCTAAACGTTTCTGGTCATGTCATCCCAGCAAATAGCATAAACATGTCTATGAAGGTCCCACAGCTCTATGCCCCCTGAACAAAGTTGATAAAAAAAGATCTAAAGTCCGCCGGGGAAAAAGTGACCGCAAGCCACAACAGTAAACTTTTTTTCGGTACAACCCCACAGAGCTTCTGGGGTTTCTTGAAGAAGGGGGCTAGGCAAAACCCCCGAATGCTAGTTAAAATCTGCTCAGTTTGTGCCAACACACAGCCAACTCCCATCACGGGACCGATTCGGCCAACGGGTTGTGGGTAGTGATGATGAATTTGTCTCTCCATGAGTCCATTCACCGGCTGAGTGTAATTGCTTTCTCCAGCTTTCCTCAAATTCTAGCCGCTTCTTTCCTTTGGTGGCGGATGTTGCCGTGGGAGTAAAGAACGGGAGCACCGTTCTAGCGCTGTCTCTCGGAGGCCGTTGTGGGGGCGCCTCCGATCTACGGCCGGGATTTGGGCCGATGCTTCTAGTGGGGCTAGTCCGAGCTAGGCTCGGCCAATCACGAATTTCAGCGGACAAGCTTCTTTGCTTGATCTGGCTGAGGAACACTAATCTAGTTGTCAGTTACAGCCTACGAGACAGGCGAGGACTGCCCTGACTTAAGGTATAGGGCAAGGGAGAATGTGAAAGGGGAGGCTACTGGCCTATGGGAAGGCAAGACGGACAGCAGCAGGTGGGCATGTGAGTTGATTTACGCTTGACCTTTACGCGGTATGTGTATCCTTTAATCTACCAGAAGGATTATTTCAAGACTAATCACTATTGTTCCGGGATATTTACAGCCCACATCCCGATGTCATCCATCGAAGCTATCATTTGCTGCTAGAAGAAGGAAAGTATCGTGGTCGGAGAGAGAAACCAGCACATCTAGGCATACATTACGTGGCGCAACTCCTAAGAAGAGAACAGAAAAACGCGGTAAACGACATAAGATCTCTACAAATAGATGAAGATAAGATGGCAGGTGGGGAAATCTGCAATCTACCATCGAATGTCGTATGAATACGAAAACACACATCACCAACGCTAGCACACTTTCACGACGAAAGTCATAATGTATTCACTGCAGAGACTCTGAAATTCCAAATCAGACTTCGGGTGTAATTGCACGATATTTTCTGGAACGGTTATAATTCAAGAAATTATTTTCTGCAAATCTATCATTGCCTAACTCGAACTAGTCTTCACCGACAACATTCGCTCGCAAACCACCTAGAAGTTGCTGCCATCGTACCCAGTGCCGAAAGTTTCAGGAATTTGGTGGGTGATTTCCGGGTAAGAAGTAACCACGTCCGAGTACACCGGAATCTCCTCTGGCTTGTTGGCTTCGAAAGTGACCTCGTTGGACACAACACAGACGAGGAGGTTGTTTATCTCTTCAGGAGACTTCAGGTCCCCGTTGAGAAGTGTGATTTTCCATCGAAGGTTCGCCTTGAGGTATTTAACCACGTCCTCATGTTTGAGACTGTCGACTTGACCAGCCAAGTACCGCTCAACCAGGGCAATAGTCAGGGGAATTTGACCGGTGATCTTCTGCCTCTCCGCGCGCCCTTTCTGGCAGTTTTCACATGCGCTGTTTTCGTCCTGGCCGAATGTGGCGAATGACCCGACATGGGCATGGTCCTTCACGTACAAGAGAGGAAGTGTGCCGCTGTCAGGATCGCCGAGGAAGATGTTGACAATGTAGTTGCCGTTCAGCTCGGCCTTCTCAGCCCTGATGTTGACGAGCCATTCGAGGTACTTGCCCCCGACTGCCAGGTTCTGGATATCACGGCCCGGTGGGAGCTCAGGTTCACCGCCGCTGGCAGACTTGAGATGCACCTTTGCGCGTTCCTGGAGCTTTTGCAACGTCTCGACGTCACGCGGCTGACTTCGTAGAATGTTGGCAAAGGAGGCCCGCTTCAGGTACAGCCGGTCGACCTCGTTCATGATGAGCTTCTTGGTGTTGAAAACGCTCTGAGTCTCCGGGTAGATGTAGCCAAAGACTTTTGTGTCTCTCACTTGAGCTGACGTCCAGAACTCCTGCGTACCGTCCGCGGCAACTGAGCGCGCGAATGGGGTCAAAGGGCTATCCGCATGCTCTGGCGACCCTTTTGCCCGAACCACGGTGTTCTCTAGAGACTCTTGCGGCGTGACATATTGTTTAGGGTTGCATACTTGCCAGATGGCGAAGAGACGATCGATATTGGTATGGTGAAGCCAAAAGATGGGGTCAAAAGCAGACCACGCCGCCTCACCCATGTAATCCCCTCCAATGTAGTCGTGAACAGCATTGTGAACATCCTCGATGCTACCCCAATTGCCGAATTGACTCTTAGGAGAACCGAACTCGCCGTTGTTTGACACGGCTCCAAAGTCTTCATAGCCCTGAAGAAGAAACAGGATTCGCTCAGAAATGTTCATCCCCTTGACTCCTCGTGCCGGTTCGGTAAATTGCCTGATGGCTGCGTCCCTAGCTACTTTGTCGTTGATATTACCAAAGGTCCGCACGGTTCTCGCTTCTTCAAGTTTGACGCCATCCTAGAGGGGTAAGCCAAAGTTTCGTAGTCATGGTCAATATTTTACCTTGATGACTCCTTTAAACCTATCGTCCTTATGATGAGCCTTGGAATACTCCCCAAACATGTATCTGGCTAGGGGTTTGATCTCGGCAGGGAACTTTTCCGTGTTTCCCTTCTGGCTCTTGGGTCTCTCCACCTTCTGTGGCTCCCCGGAGAGCGCCTCTTTCGGAAACAAGGGAAGCTCAGGCCGCGCCCAATCCCAGTATGGCATCCGGAAGGTCTTGAGGGCCTTGACATACTGCGTCTTCCCCTCCTTCTCAAACTCTTTGGCGATGTATTCGGCATGCTTGTAGAGCTCATTCTACAACCTGTTGTCTTAGTATTGGTGTCATTCGTGATCCTGCGAGTAAATCCATGCACTTGCCTCAAACAGAGAGAGGTACGGGCGATGCCACGTGAGGAACAAGATTGAGCTGTGCGTGCAGTATCCGCCGTAGCCTCGACTGAGATTGATGTCTTTGGCGAGATTCCACTCCTCGTTTGGCCACTTTATAGCCGGCATTCCGTGAATGCCTGGAAAGTTACGTGAGCCTTTTTGAGACCCGACGTGCGTGGGAAGGGAGTCTCTGACGTACCAGCAATCTGGAAATAAGAAAGCGGCTGATCCTCGGGGACAGCTTGGAACCGCTCCAGTGCTAGAAGATACAGATTCCATTGATCGGGATAGTCTTTGATCATGTCACGCAGTTCCAGCCGCATGGGTGGCTCATCTTGATATTGTTAGCGTCTTTAGGTAATTGATGCTTTGCAAGGAACCGTACTGCCTTCGTATGGGGCCTTGATGCCTTCTATGATGACAGGGCCTTGAGTTCCGTCGGAAGACATGGTGATGTCTGTAGCTGTGATTCTGAAGTGTTTAATGGTGACAAAAAAAGCCCGAATAAGAGAGCCGTGGTGACGTGAAGGAGATGCTCCTCCTGACCAAGCGGGAGAAGACAGGCGGGCTTTTAAGCGATGGTTTTGCGAGCTTCTGGTCTTCTCTTCTCCCAATATCTCGTTGGCATCGGGTTTTCAGCAAGCCTCATCTATCTCTGTCTCACATTCGCGATCTCGGGTAGGCCCGCAACGGTGCATGAGCAGCCTTCAGCCAGCCACATAACTCCAGCTCCCGCTGTCAATCACTGAATCAATGATCCAACTCCCGTATCAAAATATGCACTCGCTAAAGCTCAGAAGCCTGGACCTAAGCGGTGTGTAAAGTATGCATCCACTCGGGGGACAAAATAAATGGCCGCTTTTTGGTGGCTAATGTGAGGACAGGCGGCCATTCAACCTGTCCCCCGAGTGGCATCTTACTGCATCTCAATGCATTCGAATGTCTAACCTGCCATACGAGGCAGCCGACGGGGGCGGACCTGAGAGGCGGGGGAAAAGTCTCAGCCTCAACTCACATCATTCATTGAAGTTCAAGACACACCCGCATCTCCACAAGGGATAGCTTGCGCCAAGCAGCATTGCCTACTCGCTTTGTCCATGACCGCTGACACGTTTCTGAAGCCAGTCCGCCTGCGACCTGTGGCCACTGGTCCCATGAGATTTGTGGTCTCACTAACAGCAAGCCTCATCATATTTCAACGCACAGTACCTAGCATCGCCTCGAGGCGGTGAATAGTCGAGTACTTGCAGTTGAAGTCACTGCCTAAGACGCCGGGCAAAAACTTTAACCTAAAGGTGAGTCGAGAGCTCCAAGCCTAGTATAGTTGACTCTGCAAGACTTCGGATGAAGTGGTTTGGTAGGGCAGTGTCAGGACTACCTAGATCGAATGCTCATGACTTCCTCCAAAGTCTGGAGGAAGAGACTAGGTACCGCTAAGAACGGGCTTGGAGACGGGGACAAACTAGATTAATACACATTCACCAATGAACAAGGACCTGACGGAAACAATTTTTTGTCATGAAAAGAAGAAACAACGTCCATCTCAGGCCGAAGCCGCCCTCATGACATCATTCCTATCATTCTTTTTTGGTTCGTGCTAATTCTCATCTATCTACACATGACTCTTTCAATCTTTCCTTTCGCATCTCTTCATGCTCATGTCGCTTACGACATATCCTGTATCGACATCCCCCACCATTGCTTCATGTTTCCTAATCCCCGAACATTGGGATCCAATACGTACACAACATCCCACCTGGCATTCATTACAGCAAAAAGCATTTCCTCAGCCCTCATCTCATTTCGTCTCGTTAGGACGCAAAAAACGCAAAAACCCATGTGATATCTCTGAAGAACAAAAAACAATTAACAAATCCCCAAACTTACCTTGCAACTTTTTTCGCAATAGGAGATGAAGGAGAATGCAAGCAAAACGTCGACCAATAAAACGCCTCAAAAAGCTGCAAGTCAACTCGTGACAGTCGTCAAGGAATAGCAGAAGGAAGGCCATCGCTGTGTCTATGAAGCAAAAGCAAGAGTGCAAGAAGCAAGCGCCGACAATCGGCACCGATGGTGGTTGAGTGAGGATCAACGCTTGAACACACTGCTGAGCTTGCTTCCGCCGACGCTGCTTCCAACACTACTCGATACGCTGCTCATCTTCTCGCTGACCTTTTCGCCGAATCCGCCCATCCACTTGGGCACCTTGAGACTCATACGCACCTGGCCGTCGACAATCATGCTGATGACGTTGAGAACAGCAAACGTGGTAGAGCCGATGGCGCGGAAGAGAGCCAGAAGCGCCACGGACCAGAGAATGAAGGCAAGATAGTAGTTTTCACCAATGCCGCGTTCGCTATACGCCTCAGACACGGCCATGGCGAGAATGGCGTTGCAGATAAGCCACAAGAGCACCATGTAGGTACGTACGCTCTTATAGTAGTCTTCCTGCAGCTGCGCCTCGGAGATGGGCGAAGGGGGAACCTCGACGCGATCACGGAGGTTACGAAGCGCCTCGTCGTAGCCAGAGTCGATATCAAGCTGCTCAGATGGCATTTCAAGCTCGACACTGTTGCCCTTTCCGATAGCGCCACCCAGATCAGTCTTCATAACGTTGTCTCCCTTGGTACCCCAGGTAACGTCGTGCGTGTTGCAGAAGGCGTATACTTGCAGAGTGCAGATATACGCAGGCAGAAGCATGAAGTACTGAGCCGCACTAGTGAACAAGTGCCAGGGATCCAGGTATAAGAAGGACATGACGAAGTACAAGCCGATAGTGGAGAGAATCGAGACAATGAAGTTGGTGAAGACGTTTTCGCCCATGTGAATCTCGGGGTTGTCTTTCTCCTTCAGCTGGCGGATGACAATGTAGAAGGTCGCGAACGTCGTGTAGATCATGATGATACAATACACGACGATACTGAAGAGGTACAGTTTCTTTGCTCCCTGCGGCCGATTACCTAGCGATAGGATGAATTGCGCGCAGATGAGCAAGACACAAGTGTATCGTAGGACCGTAAAGATGTATTGACCAATGTTGTGACCGAAGGGATCTACCAGGGGATCGCCTAGACCGCCTGCGACGAAGTAGAAGGTCAGGTAGAAGTTTGCCAGGGAAAAGTAGGTAAAGATAAGCTGCAGGAACTGGTAGATGAATTCGATGTGAAGGAGGATCTTGCGAGTGATTGTGTGGTCGGTGTACCAAATCTGCTTGAAGTGAACGAGCGAGTACACGGCAGCGAAGAAGGCACCGTTCAGCCAACGACGTCTCTGCGAGATGAGCTCTGGAACAGTATCTATGGGATTTGTTAGTAATTATAGACTTTGGTGGGAATAGATCTCTTACCTGGCACATCGGTTTCACCATGGCATCCCTTCACATACTTCAAGACCCAACTCTCGCCGCGCTTGGCGACAAGCTCCCAGCAGAGGATACGATCCTCGGCGAGGTACATGTTTGCCGTGAACACGTCTGCATGCTGACCGTGCAGTGTCTCTCCCTTGAAGTACTGACTGAGAGGACCATGGCCCGTCTCGTCGTTCTGCAGAGCGTGGTATCGGTAGGCACTGAGTGCACCGGGCAAGACGGTAATGTACCCGAAGATGGATTCAAGAGGCTTGTCAAGAATGTTGGACATCTTGTACTCAAAGTTCTGAGAGGCGACAAGGGGGTTCAGGAGGTTCACTCCAAACTTGCCCTTCATAGCCTTGATCTCTCCGCAAGCACCGGCAACGTTGGAGTCGTTGTCAAAAGCCTTCCAGAGATGGTACAGAGATGTACCGCCAGGTCTGGTACCAACATCGAGCAAGATGCACACGTTGGGGTTAAGAGCCTTGCCGAAAGCATTGAAGAACCAACGGTGTGAGTTGAGCTTCCTTTGGTTCTTCTCCTTCAGACAGAAGATCAACTGGCAGGGCACGATACCTTTTTCGGCACCCTTGAACTTGAGATCGGAATCGAGCGAGACTTGTGTTGTGTACTCGTAGACGTGGGCCTGCACTGCCTTCTGGTTGACGTAGTTCTTGGCGATACCGTGCTGGTAGACACCCATTGCCGCCAATGCATCGAGCGTGCGAGGATGAATCTTTTCTCTGCCGTCAGACACAATGCAGACAACAATCTTTTGCCAACCATTATCACCCCATGTGCGCGATTTTGAACGAGCGCAGAAGTGAGAGATGTTCTTCATGACGGCGTACATGGTTCTCGTGAAGCCAAACTCGTCCTCGTTGTACATGGTGACACAGATGAACAATTCCGTCTCGCGAGCAGTTTTGCCAATTGACTGGCGAAGCTTGTATCCGCGTTCGACAAAGTCATCGGGGTCGCAGGTGACGGCTGTATATCTCATGTGAGTGAACTCGACCTCGTCGCGGCGAGGCAAGAAACTGTAAAGAATCGTAGGAATTTTGCACTCCAAGACCAGCTCTCCGTTGATAAGCTGGACCTCCTTTCTCGACATCTGCGGTGCGCGAACACCTCGGCGCTCTTGCATTCCATCTGGAGCAGGGCCGTAATGCTCTACCTTCTCATTGATGTCGGTCTCTGCATCTTCCTCGCTCAGCGTAACCTGGTCATGGGACATGTACGATTCTCTCATCGGCTGGCTCTCACTGATGTCGGTCTCGGGTCCGAATACGTCGTCGTTATCGTGAAGAGGGATCGAAACGGTGGCGTCGTCAGCAAAGGCAGCAGAGTTGCGGTTCGCACCAGTCGAGAACAACGGCGCAGGCGGAAGCGGGCGTCGGGGGCTACCGCCGTATCTGGAAGATGGAGTTCCCGGTCTGGGGCTGCCATTGAGGTCTGATGGCTCGTAAATGCCCGAGGCAGGTGGCCTCGTGAAGTCTGACGAGAGGCGCGAAGGGCTGTATGTTCTCGTTGGTGAATGACGTCCTGACTGGTACTCGTACGGGTAGTCGTCTTGATACTCCTGCTCGTAGGTGCGCTCGTACTCGCGGGCGTAGTCGCGGCCCTGGAAGGGAACGTAGGTCGAGTCGGGCGGCGGCATGCTCGGGGGGTCTCGAATGGACGCGGAGCGGTCGGACAAGATGGACGACGCATAGGATCGTCTGCTGGATCGGGGCCTGTTGGTTTCCTCATGTGAGCTTGTGCTTGCGTTATTGGTAGAATCATCTGACAATGGAGGAACGGGACAACTGGAGGACTGGTGCAGTTGACTCTTCCGCAGCGAAGGGCCCTCTGGTATGGTGGGGAGACTGTCCCGAAGTTGCGACTCTCTGATGGAGTTGGGCCTGGTCCTCTTCTGCAACTTTACAGTAGAAGACCGCACCGGTATCCGAGAGATGCGCTGAGCGTCTGCAAAGTCGACAACGCCCACGCCACTTAAGTGCGGTGTGTAGACGGGTGCTGTAGACAAGGGTGAAGTTGGATTTCCTTCCTCCTGCTGCCTCAATGCGTCGAGGTGGTCCGGCGTAGAGATCACCGGGTCTGCAGCGTCCGACTTCTTCCTGCGCAGTGATAGAGGGCGTGGGAAGAGGCTGGGCGACGACTCGGGTGTCTTGTGAACCTGTCGAAGGCGAGGAATAGAAGATGCGGAAACAGGAGTAGTAGCAGAAGTGGAAGAAGCATGACGAAATTGTCGCGATGCGCCCTTGGCGCCGCTGACTGGTGTCGAAGCCGAAGTCGACTGCTGGGGCGCGGAGGGAGTTACGTACGGTGCTCTGTCCATGATGGGCTCCTCGACTGAAGTCAGTAATCGAATGGCGGCGGGATTGTTGGAGCGTCCCGTGGGAGTGTCGTCGTCGCGGTCGTCGTAGGGTGGGAGGCTGTAGTCGGGCGGTCGCGAGGGGGTATTTGGGTCCATGATGAGATGTTGTTTGCGCCGCCGGTTACCGGGACGAAACGGTTAGAGGAATGCTGTACTGGATTGTTGTTCAAGGGCCGGGTCTCGTAAGGGTGTTCTTTGTTTGCAACGGGCCGGCGCCACGATGGGATTGTGTGGGCGAGGGATCGACGTAGCTCAGGTCGGCCTCGTGGCGTCAATTCGGGTCCTAGTGAGTGTCTCAATGACTGGAATGAGGGTCCAAGACGTAGGTGTGAGGGTGTAAGTGTCGAAACTCGACAAAGGGTAGCGCCGTTGGAAATTCTGAATGGGAATCCCAAACGGCAAGGTTGGTGATGGTGGTAGTGGTTATGCTAAAGACTAGCTTTTTGGCAAAGTGGGATGGATCTCGAGAGATGATATGAGAGGGAGCAATGTGCGAGAGAGCAGTAGCAGCAAGGGAGGTAAAGCATCTGGGCAAAGCTGCGGGAAGGAGGGTCAAGTGTTGGGGAGGCTGGGGGGAGTCAGAAAAAAACGTGGATGGGCAATCACTCTGCGCCTGTAACCTGCGCCATTCTCTTTCTCACCTCTCGGGTACGCAGCACCTTAGTGTCTCTTTTGCTCCCAGCGCATCCGCGAGTGTGTTGAGGCAACAGGGCGGATCGGAGACTTCGATGGCGTTGACGGGGCAACGGGACACGACTGCAGGGGATTCGTGGTGTCCCGGCTGCGAAAAGCGGGCCGGCGATGTACAGCGCAGGGGGGCTGAGCCTGTTCGTGGGACCTCGTAGCGGTTAGCGCCTTCTTAGCGCCCCCGGGGCCCGCTGGCCGTTCCTGAACCTGTCGCCCAAAATGGATTGATTACCTCACCTTAGGTAAGGTACCAAGTACCGTGGGTCGTCACTCACCTGCACATGCACCTCATCACTCCGCCAAATCTGTCAACTCTTGCACCCATGACCACAGCACGATCTTTGCGCCAAACGGTAATGGCAATGTAGCAAGGTAGCTTTGACAGGCCCACGGTGGAGGAGGGCTTGGATGATTTGCTTTTGGTATTCAACGTCCATCTTTTCCACATGCGGCTCTTTCTACGGATACACTCTGGTGCCCAACGTCTGAGATATCTATCCCACATGGATGATGTGCAGCTCACCTCTGGGGTAAACAATCACCTACCTACTTCTATATCCACCCAAAGTCTATTCGCTTCTCTTGCCCTCGTTCTCTCAATACTGTTGTCCTTTGGGACCAGCTTGTTCTCCTTCATGTGAACTGCCAAGAAAAAACATTGGGTCCAGAGGTATCACACACCCCAAAGAGCCCTCCACCGCTTCTCATCCGTCCTCAAAGGCCCGTCAAACCGCCCAAACCGCGCCGGCAACCCTTCGTTGGCCTCGGGCAAACAAATCCACTCTCGCACACAATCCGGCACTTCCTCCTTGATGTGACTGATGCAGATCAACGCTTGCCTCTCACTCAACCCCCTGACCCGCACTCGGCCTGCCTTGGCTACCTCACTATCCACGATGCGCTCCCCGCTATACGTCTTCTCTTCTCCTTTAGCGAGGAAGAGCATACACTTGTCTCTGACAGCATCGTCCATTCCGCTGAATGCCTCGTCGAGCACCACCACGTCGGCATTCTTGATCACCGCGCGCAGGAGCAACGCGATGCGCTGGGCGCTGAAGGAGAGACCGCCAAAGAGGTAGTTATCCGACCAAGAGAGGTCACCTCCGTCATCCGTGACAGAAGACGATGGAGCCTTTTGATATCCCGGGTTCAACTCCGGCGTGAACCACCGCAACGTCGCCTCAACCTTTCCCCGTGCCTCATCATCCAACACAGGAATACCCTTGAACGTATCCGCCCAGGCATTCTCCAACACCTGTCGAACAGTCAAGCCGCGGGGCATGTGCTGGTGCACCTCGGGACTCGAGTGCCCTATCCGTGACTGTATATCCCAGAACGTGACAGGCCGCTGCCCAGACCCGGGCTCGGGCAGCCTGCTGCGGCCAAACAGCTTGATGGGGAGGGAGTACGTCTGCGGGTGATCGGAGCACAAGAGAGAAACGACGGTCGTCTTGCCCGACCCGTTCGGCCCGAAGACGCCCCATCGCTCCCCTCGCCGGACAGTCCACATCAGCCCGTCCTTGGGCCCGGACGGCGTCTCCTGAGACCAGTTGCCCAGCGCGATCTTGTTCCCGTACCGCACCTGACACCCGTCCATCTCAATCAGCGGTTCACCCACAGCCGTCTCCCCAGCAGTCGAGGATGACGCCTCAGCAGCAGAAGAAGCAGACTCAACAGCATGCGAATCCTTCTCTCCAGCCGAGAAGAGCCCATCCCCCTCCACCCCCCTCGCAGTCAAAACCTTTCCCATCTCCACAAGCGAATGCACAGGCAACCTCTCATCCTCCTTCAACCCACCCTTCCACACGCCCCTCACATACGTCCTCAGCCCCTCCAACACCTCCTCCTTAGGCCCCATCGACCCAACCTGACAGTCCCCACGCAAATACACCAAATGCGTAATCCACTCGGGCAGCGGATCCTGCGGCCGCGCACTCAACACCAGCCTCGGACTCGCCCGCTCCGCGATCCCCTCCAGCACGGGACTCAACCCGGCCACGGTCGGGGGATCGAGCCCCATGAACGGCTCATCCAGCAGCAGCACCTCCGGCGTGGCCAACAGCGCCCTCGCGATGCGCGCGCGCCGTCCTTGGCCGTTACTCAGGAACGCGACGGGGAGATCCAGCAGCGGCTCCAGCCTCAGGTCCTTCACGACCCTCTCCACGAGCTCCGGCGGCATCAGGTTCTCCTCCCCCGGTAAGGTATCGAGCGGATTCAGCTCCGTGTTGCCGACCAAGTAATCCCGCAGCGAGAAATCCGTATTCTCCCTCCTCGACTCGTACCGCGCGGCGAGGTACGCACTGGTAGTATGCCCGCCGCCCAACCCGCCGTCACCGTCGAAGCCGACATATTGTATCGCCCTATTGGCACTTCGCAGGCGTGGCGGGACGACCTCGGTGGAGAGGTACGGGTACGTCCGCGCCGTGGGCGGGATCGCGAGGTGCTGGCCGCGGAGGACCTGCAGCAGCGTCGTCTTGCCCGAGAGCGAGGGGCCGACGATGCACCAGTGGTTCTTGTTCTTGTCGGCGGCGGTGGCGGAGGACAGCTCGAGGTTCAGGTCTGTGAAGAGGGGCGGGTTCGGGTGCGTGGTGTGCGTGTTGGGGTGGCGCCGGTAAAAGGAGCCGTTGGCGATCCTTAGGATCGGGGGAGAACGATTCGGTATCCTCATTGTGATTGAACGAGTGTGCATATGTGCCTGCTTCAATGGGAGAGATTGAGCGAATCACTGTCTGAGCGAGCGGAATCAACGCCAATTGACCACCGTTACCCTTGATATCGCGTCGTTGGGATAGTCGTGGGATGACTTTCACATTGTGACTCTTCCTTCTCCTCCCAAAAAGAAAAATCCGGGGCAGCTTTCCCCGGACTTTTGGGTACAAGTACGTAAAACCAGCTGCGATCTCGGTGTCGAAGCTCGGCCGTCATCGCCCCACCCGTAATGTGGATCCGTGTCCGGGGAGCGGAAAGAAAAGACCGACAGGGATCAGGTACGCTAAGGATTGAGGTTACCGCGTCTGCATTTCAGCCTGGAAGTCACGTGCAGTTCATCTCGCTGAGGTAATGGCGGGACCGACTGGCACGACTGGGTAGCAGCAGCCAACAGGCACGCCGGAGAGCTCCAGGCACATCAACGCAGCGCAAGCTTCCATAATCGTCACCCAGCCCGTTCAGCTCCATCTCAATCAACACGATCCCCTAAACGAAACCTCTCCTCCCAACAACCACATTCCACCCCGAAGAACATTCAAGATGTCGGTATGTCGTCTCCCACCTCCAATCCACCTTCCCTCCATCACGGAACCCCCTCCCAAACTAACATCGTCCCCCCTCCAGATGCGAATCGTCCCCGCCGCAAACCAACCCACAACCTTCGCCGCAGGCGCCAACGCCCCCTCGGCACCGGGCGTCCACGACACCCTCCGCGCCGGCGTAGGCCAGTCCGCCTACGACGCCAAAGAAAACGTCGCCGCCTCCGCCCACCCTCTCGAGTCCCGCCTCAAGAACTGGGAGGCCACCCAGGAAGGCATGCGCATGGAGACGCTCCGCCGCACCTTTGGCCTCGCCGAACCCATCCGCCGCCAGATGGAGCTCAAGATTACGCAAAACGGCGAGTGGCGGCCCCTCGCCCTCGGCGGTCAAAAGGCCTCCGTCCACGAGGAGATCCTCCGCGGCAAGGACTCCAGCGTCACGTGGGAGGACGTCTACTCCGGCGAGGAGAGCGTGGGCATCGTTGGTATGCACGACGAGATGGAGAGGAAGCTCAAGATTTGAGAGTGATAGAGAGAAAGCTTGAGAGATATGACGGGGTTGGAATGACCGAGAGCGGACCTGGGCTCCTGGATCAGAGGGATGCGACAGGAGGACCAGGGTTGGAATTGTATTACTACGATATGCGTCATGACCTCAGGACGGCGCGGCAAAGGAAATGTCAAGGCCATAGAAGGAATTCACCGAAGCGTCCAGGTTCAACGGAAAGATGGAATAGAATGCGTTCTACTATCCTATGGACAACACCCATAGACGGGGCGTGGAGAAGAACCAACCAGAACAAATACACAAAGCTATGATACGCCGTTGTACTCCGAATGTCCCCTTATTGTCTTCGCTCTTTGTAATACGCTCGATGGATGTCGGGGTGGCCTCCATGGAGAGAGACACGCGAGACATGAGAAAAGATAAAAGACCCATCGCAACACCGTTACCGAAGGCCTCACCAGGCCGACTAGCCCATCCGTTCTGGGCACTTCTGGAATTGCATGCATTGTCGAAACCATGACCCCGGCTAGGCCCCTGCCTCTTTGTATCGTGTACCGTACCATGCAGAGCACTCAAGCCAGATTGGCCCAATGGAGTCTTTTCTCGCCTGCTCTTCTTCCATGCATGTCATTCTCCCCACTAGAAAGGAATGGCTCTTGTTCGGCGGGGGCGAGATGTTAAAGGAAAGGAGTGATGATCGCAGAAGAAAAGGGCCCAGATCTTGGGACCGCTCGATCATAAGATAACACAGCATCCACCGCCACCTTCTCGGTTGCGCCCGCCGCCAGAGGTTGACTTATTGCCTCCCTTAGGTTCTTCTTCCTCAACGATATCGGCTGGCCGGACGGTCATGTGTACAACGTTGGCTGCCTCAGCACTGAAGTGGTATTCTGGAACAAGGTTAGATGAATCAAGGGAAACGTAGATATCAGGGAAAACCTACGTTTCAATTGGTCCTTATCGTCCAGCAGCTTTCCGAAATGAATCAAACGTATACTGCTGGGGCTCGCAGGCTTGGCATCCCATTCTTCACGCCACTCCCTGAGGATGAGTTCCTTCAAGGTATAAACACTGATGGTGAAGGGGTCCTTCTTTCCGGCCTCGGTCAATCCAGGAACATTGACGTTTCTCTTTGTCAAGTACTTTTCGTCCAATTTGTAAGGGTGTCTTGCACCAGTAGTGAGCAACAGGGTGATGTTGCAGACTGGGCCATCTGCTGGAGAGTTGGTGACGGGCTGGACGTCATCGACAGAGGGACCGATGGCCATGGAGTCATCCTGAGTCTTGGTCGCTGGCGACGAAAGCGAGTCCTTCTCCTTTCCTTTGGTTGACGGCTCGATTGAATCGTCGGCATCGCCCACGGCCGACGTGCTGGCTTCAGGCTGTGTTGATGCCGCATCGCCGGGTGTCTTGCTTGATGAAGTAGTCGTCGGCCTCGTTGTGTCTGCTGCGGCGGCGTCGGCTTCCGTCGACGAGGATTGAGGGAGGGTCTTCATTGGAATGGTATCCTTTGGCGCCGCCGAAGAGTCCTTGGGTGATTGGCCGACGGTCGTGTTGGCGTCGGCGGGTTTGGTATCGGCCATTGCGGATCACAGGCAAGAGCAACGGCAGCGTCGAGCCTCGAGGAGCGCGGGCTCGTGGTGATTGAGATTGGAACCGAATCGGATACAGTGGCTCAATGCATGCGGCAGTCTGCGAAAAAGTTGAGGATATTTCGACGAGTGGGATCTCAGTGTTTCGCGGAAGAGAATCGGGGGGATGAATTGTAGTCTTCGGGTGAGACGGTCAGACGCAGAGGCACAGCGACGCAGAGACGCCAGTCGGGATGGTACCAGTTGGCGTGGGTAGCGAGGCCGGTGTTGTGGCAGTTGCCAGGATTTGGGGGGGTCGTTCAGGATGTTGGACGGGAACGCTGAAGGCGGAAGCGGGTGGTAAAGGCGGGTGATCAGTGCATCCAAAGCGTGGGCGTTCGACCAGTCCAAGTTCAAGCCCAACCAGCGAGGTGGGAAAAAGGAAGGATAAAATGGAGACCCGGGGCCGAGAGTTGGAGAAGGAGACGTGCGTGGGAGAGAGGACCTGACGGGAATGTCGAATGGGGAGATGGCTTGGCGGAACTTGGAAGGCGTGGCTCGTGGGCCGTGGGCCGTGGGCGTTGTCTCTCTTTTCCACCTGCACTCCAGTCTCCAGTTTCCAGTGCTGGACTCGGCTGGGCAGGCTGGGGACGCTGCTTTGCTGAAGCCGGGCGAGTGGACTGGCTTACTGACTATACTACCACACTACCTAGTAATCCAGACTAGGCAAGGTAGGTAGGTTGAGTGGACGGGCTGGGCTGGATGGCTCGGCAATGATTCCGTTCCAACTTCCAAGTTGTGCTGGAGGCGAAAGAGTCGCGGAATTTGCCAGGTACGTGTGCGAACAAATCTTCTCTGTCGTCGGTAGGGAAGATCATGTGAGTTTGCTGCTGGTAGATGATTGTATCCGTTCCTTAGTATCGGTAAGGTATGGTTACCTAAGGAAGGTCGGTCGGTAGGGGAGAGCGGTGCTTCGCTGCCGAAGCGGCGTTTGGTCGTCTCGTGTCTCGATGGTTACCCTCACGCTCTTCCAGGCAGGAATGTACCTCTAGGAACAGTACGTGAGTACCTACCTTACGGTAAGGTAATCGAGGTGGGCACGTATGTAGAGAAGACTAGACAGGGTGGTGCTATGACGATGTACCCGGCAATCACGTCGTCTCCCATCGAATTTCCGAGCGGTCGGTATTAGTCGAGTCGTGTGGGCTGTTTCGTCTATCAGGCCCTCCTTGACAAAGCTGCTACGGCGGAGGCGGCGGCGGCGATGGCGATAGACGCGGCGGCGGCGGATATCGGCAGCAAAGGGCGAAGCCGATCAAGGGTCGAGGATGTTGTGGAGGGTGTCACAAGCTTGCTCTCTTTTATCTTCTTCTCGGTCACCAAGTTCCAGCTGCTGTCCTGGTCGTCATCCTTGATGTTTGATGTTGCTTCTCGGTCGTGGGTTAGCTGCTTAGAAAAACAGAGAGTAGGACCGATCCGAAGTACCTATTTCAAATCGAGACTGGCTGGCGAGCAGAAACAACAATCGGGCATTCGAGATGTTGGCCGGAATTGCAACCGCCGCGACTGAATAGTTTGTGGGAACGGGGTGGTTCCTGTAGTTTCCCTCGGTGTTCCTCAGTTAAGGTACTCTCGCGGCCCTATGCCTCTTGTTGCAAGTTTGACTGATTCCTTCTTTCTCATTCCTTGACAACGATACTTGTCGCGAAGTACAGTCCGTCTAGTGGAAAACAATGCGAGTACCTGAGATTGTCGGGAAGGCGCACCTCAGACTTAAAGAGAAGGGGCAACCATGACGTTGGAAGAGGAAAGAACCACTTTCTCTAGGTCTTCCTTCCCGTCTCCTTTCCCAATCTGAAGTCCCTCAAGATCTTCAATTCCAGTGTTTCCCCAATGCTTCCTCCTCCCTTCATCTATTTTGCACTTGCACCATTATTCGCCATCTGATCGCATGCTCCTCGAAATCAAAGTATCCGAGTGCGCACCAATTGATAACACATCGATTCATACAGATACCATTCCGAGTATCTTCACGCCTGCTGGACTCGGCCAAGGCTAGTGCATTCGCTAACTTGACCGCGGCGTCCACGGGTGCCCTCCCCCGCCGTCACCGCTCCAGAAGACAGGACGCTATTATTTCGCAATGTGACACATTCCCAACCGCACGCACCGTTCGCATTCCTTCCGTCTCCAGATCTGGGCGTCTCGCGGGGGAAACGGGAACGGGAGCGAGGGAATGGAAAGGATCAAATGGCACACGCGCCGTAACAGAGGAAACGCACCCAGACGCTGCCTGTCAAATTTCCAACCGTCAGTGCCATTGCCACTAATCTAGACCAACCACCTAATTACCTACAACCATCTTTCAGTTCGCCTGCAGTCAGCCGCATCATCAGTCGGTCGAGGCTGTGTCAGTTCCGATACGTACCCACCGATGGTGCCCTCACCGGTTCAGTTCCCCTTCCTCGCAGGGACAGGCTAGTCTGCGGTCCCCGCCACGGCGCCCCATCTCTGGGCATCTGAAATCCCCTCATTTTCCTCAACTCAAGCGCGATATAGAAAGATAGACGTGCAATGTTTCAGCAGCACCCCATACGCGTGTGGGAAACAGATTGGTCTAGGTGTACGGCAGGCAACAAAAAACAAAAAGCGGCTGGATTGGTTACGACCTCGCAGCATTACAAGACGTACGGTTGGCTTCGTCACCGCTTTGTGTTTTTCGCACTCTCAGCCTCCCAGGACCATCAGATTAGTGTGTGAGGGTGTTATGTTGATGTTTCTGAAGATGGGATAAGACTGTCAGGAACCCGAAACTCTCCTCAGGCTTATTTCGCCTGTCGCCCCATGGCCTTATTTGACACCAATGCAACACGCAGGCACGAGGGAAACCAATGTAGTGCACGCACATACTCAAAACCCAAAGAGTCTACAGGGGAAGCATTCGAAGGCTAGCGACGCAGAGCACGAGCTTTCCATGCTTTGGCCTGTTGTCTTTCAAGCCGGTGCTCTGCAACGTCCAGACGAAGTGCGAGATCCTCGTTACAGATCTGCTAGGGCGAGGAGAACCACCTATGCCAGGTTCACATGTTCACTGGGCGGGACACAGGCCCTAGGCAGATCTGATGGCCGTAACACGAGTAGAAGAGTAATCGTTTGCTCATAGGACTGCCGCATCCAGACTCCCCAAGCTTTTCGGACCAGACCGTGTGTGTTGTCGTCGGGCGCCCAGATCCATCCACGGCTCCAGCGGAAAAGATGCCCGGGGTTCCCAACCAATCCCTTTGAGGATGGGGGACTGTCGACAATGGCCAGCCATGGCCCACCGAGAGTAGTCCGAGTCTCCTGCTCCTTTGGGTCACTGTTGACGTCTTCTTAACACCATTGTCCAGATCCTTCATCGGGGGAACCGGGAACGGTGTAGTGCCCCAATGCACGAGTTACGATTGAAGCGAATGTTTCTCGTTCTGACTCTCGTCCCGACGACTTGGAAAATAGAAAAATGCGAAGAAGACGACGTGGAAAAAGCAATATCTGAAATCCATCATTGGTGGGCGACACAATCTTCGAACCGGGATCCACGATCTCTGTCCGCACAGAAATCGCGGGGTGACGGGAGAAACAATGGAGACTCCACTCGCTTGCGCCGGTCCGTCCAAAATCCAGACACCAACATACAGCCCCAATGGACCGGCATTGCGCCCAAGTCTTAGTTGACCTGCCCGACTTGTCGACCATATCGTCGCAAACAACAGCAGAAGCTGATACCAAGTTACCGACCTTGCCGACTTTGCCTTACCTAAGGTACTGACGGGAATCAAGACCACGGCACCAACCCAAAGCCGGAGCCGGACTTGTGCGCTCCGCCACGCTCTGAGGGTCCTGATGACTGCTCTCCTTTCACATTTACGAAAAGAACTACAGCTTGCCTGCAATTCTGTAGGTAGTACGGTCCAGTAGCTTATCCCATCGGCCCCTTAGAACTGTCGATTCCTCCTAAAACTCAAGGTTCCGGCCGGACCCCTTAGACCTCCCGTCGAGGCCCGCCGCTAAACAAACATCTGTCGTGCGCCCGCATTGCACGACTTGGTCTTGTCTTTGTCTGAACTCTCCAATGGCTTTTTAAGACCAATACTCATCACATCTCAAGCCTGTAGGTCTGGCATCTGCTCGCGCATGCATCGAAGAAGTTATGAATTAGGGGAGATGACGAAAGAAGAATCTATTTTCTGCGCAGCTTCTTCTTTGGATTGTATGTTGTGTCCTTTCCTACTCCATAGGTTGAGGGAACGCCAACCTAGTTATATTAACTTGAAGATACACGAACATGCTAGTATACTCAGTCAGGTATGCTGGAGGTTGCTCTCCATCCTCGAGCACAGAGAGATCAGTACGGCCAATGACTTCCTCGAATTTGCTACTTGTCAACTTTTCCCTCACACTGCCATTACTAAAATACCGAGGATATCCTTTCGTTTCGTAGCCTACAGTCAAACAAAAATCCTACTCCTCCTCCAACACACATCCCACTGAGCTCGTCGTCTCATATGTCTTCTTACAACACCAGCAAATCACCATTGCTCCCCTGCGCTGGTTGCACCACCTGCTGCGGAGCGTGCTGATTCACCACATACCCCGTCTCGTAACCCCCAGTCTCACCAAACACGTCTCCCTGGTCGATCCTCATGGCCGCCATCTGCTGCGGTCCGATGCTGTTAAAGTACGCGTCCGCGTCGTTGACCGCCTGCGCCATTTCGCCGTTGGCCGCCGCCGGGTCGTTGGCGATGTGCTGGCCGTGCATGTTATAATCCTGGGCCTGTCCGCCCATGCCGAGCATGCTCAAGCTCTTCTGGTTTTCGATGGACGTCGGGAGGAGGTGCTTCTGCAGCGCCGGCGAGTCCGTCAGCTTCTTGGGCCGCGCTGAGCGGAAGACGGTCTGCACCGGCTTCAGGTACACCGTAGCGAGCGTGCCGACGTTGAGGCACATCTCTTCGAGTGTGGCCGGGTCGAGGCGC